TAGCCCGCCAGCACCAAAGACCATACATCTGAGGTCAACCCTTCAGGTTAATTAATAGCCGAGGTGGCTGGGTCCGAACTGCAGAGACGTGAGTCTGTGCAGGCATGGATCACGAGGACAATTCCCAGATGATCGCATCTGGCCTCTGGTGGTGGCCCGAAAGGGAGTCGCAAAGCAGAGGGGCTTCTCGGGGTTGGCCCCCCCAATAATTCCACCCCCGAGGCTCTCCCAGAGTCAGCATGGCCACCTGTTGGGTGCCAGCTTAAGATGATCTTCCACATTTCATGAGGCTTGAGGGTCGATCATTTTCTCAGATTCAGCTTCTCATTGTAACTGCTGAGGTGTTGACATTGTTTGGAATTTTGCATGTTCAGGAATCAATATTATGCTTTTCTTCTCTGGAACCGTGGCATGTACTTTGTGAACGGCCCAGACAACTCGAGTTGGCAGCAGTCGAGTGGTACACAATATGAAATAAATCATAAATATATTATTACAAATAATAACGGCTTCCTTCCCCTTCATATTATAATTATTGCTATTGCCATTCCCCTGCATAACTTTGCATATATACCTGCCTTGGGAGGAACCCAAGACAGCTAGCACAGACTTTCTCCATTCCATTTTATCTTCATGACAACAACCCTGTGAGGTAGACCAGGCTGAGAGTGAATGACTGGCCCAAAGTCCCCCAGAGTCACGGCAGAGCGGATCTCTCAGGTCCCCAGTCCAACACAAGCAATGAATGAAAAGTTTGCAGGGCGAAAAAGAATGACAATACGTGGCTGGAAATTAGGCTGTGAAAAGAACGCATTGCATTCCTCTATTTGTCCAAGTAAATTCTTGACTGAATTTGACAACTCAGCCCAAGACAGCCTGATGAGAAAACTTGGCCACGAGTGTTGGTTGTCCCTCAAACAGAAGACAGCAAACCTGGGAAACGGAGCCGCCAAGGGCTTGTAATGCCCGGAGCACGTGGCTGGCTTGCTGGAGCCCAGAACAGGAGAGCTGGTGCCCCCGCAGGGCAGCGGGGGGGCTTCCCTGCAGCTTTTTCTGCAAGCCACCCCCTTGCCGTTTCTCGCAGCAGTGTGACGAAGTGCCTGGGTTCAGTGGCTTTCAGGCTGCGGGTGGCCTGTCAGCTCATCCGAAATCAGCAGCAGCGTATGTGACCTGCTCTGGGTGGAGCCGGACAGCGGGACAAACTCTCACAGGACGACCTACACAAGGGGCGAGCATAGATCCCATGTGGGTCTCTGTAAAAATTGATATCATTGCATTGTATTTGTATCCCGTGTATCCTCCACTTGTGAGGAGCTCAAGGTGGCTTATGGCTCCATTTCATCCAAGGGTGTTGTCACCGAATCCTAGAAGAGCAGAGTTGGAAGGGGTCATGAAGGTCATCTAGTCCACCCCCTGCTGTTGCAGGACACTCAGTCACACCATCCCACTCAGAGGGCTGCCCGGTTTCTTTCTGAATGCTCCCAGTGTGGGAGAGCCCCCCACCTCTCCAGGCAGCTGGTCCCACTGCCGTCTTGCTCTGACAGCGAGGAAGCTTCTCCTGATGCCCAGCCTGAATCTGGGTTGTTGCAGCTTGAACTGATTATTCCGTGTGCGACACTCTGGCATCAGCAGGAAGAGATCTTGACCTTCCTCTCTGTGACAGCCTCTGAGGTGCTTATGAAGGGATCTCATGTCCCCCCTCAGTCCTCGCTTCTCAAGGCTGAACAAGCCCAGTTCCCCCAGTCTCTCCTCACAGGGCAGCGTTTCCAAACCCTGGGTCATTTTCGTTGCCCTGTGCTAGATCTTGCCACAAGAGACTTTAAGCCGATATTCAGGCTTTCCTAACCTAGAGACTGGCCTGGGCAGGGCTTGCCACGAGTCCAGACATCAGGAGTGGCTGACAAAGAAACTCTGGGCGAGGGTCTCAGGAGGCCTCGTGAGATTCTCAGCGCAAACCGATGGGGCACCAGAAGTGTCCGTTGGTGGCTACTGGGGACTCCGGCGGATGGCTGTTTGCAAAGCTGTACCAGCTGCACCGAACAAAAGCTGTGCTTTCCTTTCCTTTCTTTTATCTTTCTCTTTCTTCCTTTTTTTAAAAAGAAAGCTTACTAACTTAGCTTCCTAACAAGAGGGAAGAAAGTGGGATATAAATGCGCATTCCAATTAGCCTGCGCTTTTCGATCAGTGCCGCACATGAGTTACCTGTCCTATGCGCCACTGAGCGGAGGCATCAGTTGTGAGATCCCCACAAGCAAAGGGCCTCACACGAGTGGTTAATTCTGCAAGGAGAGGCCAGGGTAGGCGTTCCCGTTCGCTTCTGCCTGAGCTCTCTGCTCGCGTTCTGCAAAGCTCCAGCTGCCTTCTGACCAACTCTTGCAAGGTCGCCCTGTCACCTCCTAACCCAGAGCGGCCCAATTTCTCTGCTGGCCCCGACCCCACGCTCCCACCCCAAGAGGCCCTCCTAGCAATCGCTCGTTCTGCCCCGGGCTGTCAGTGAGGACGGCTGGCGTGCGTAGTTTTTAGTTATTTATTAGATTTATATCCCGCCTTTTTATTTTTTAAAGTTTACCCCATTCTCTGCCTGCTGCTCTCAGTCTTATCCTCACAACAGTCCTGTGAGGTAGGTTGGGCTGAGAATGTGTGACTGGCCCAAAGTTACCCAGTTGGCTCCATGGCTGAGCGGGGACTTGAACCCGGATCGGTCTTGGAGAATCTATCTAGTTCCACCTTCGGGCCATAGTGAGGGTTTCTTCTACACACTGCCATTTGGTGAATTTGGGCTCACAGTCTTGCCTTCTGAAAGAATCCTGGTTAATTGAGACAGACGCACGGACGCAGCGTCACCTGGCCAAGTTCGATGCAACTCATTTTGATTTACACCTTTGACAACATCCTTTGCTCCAGGTTTGCTAACTGAACCCAAAGGCAGAGAATTTCTTGACATCTCATAACAGTGTTTATCCCTGATACAATATTTTCTGTGAATTCACTAGTAAGCGCAAACGTTCAGGGCTCGATCCTGTGGGTGTTTAGACTGGAAACAAGGCCTACAACTCCCAGGATGCCCCACGGCATGTGAGCCATGGTTATTATTAGTGGTATCTATAGAAGGAGGCGTGAGAGATGCCCTGGCCCAGCAACCCCCTGGCTGTGCCACGCAAGCAAGTGGGGGAAGCCTTGGGAGACCACCAAGAGCCGTAAGAAGGTGGGCTTCCCGATGGAGGGACCTCCAGAAGCTGGAACTAACGATGCTGTCAGCAGCCGATTTTGTCTGCGCAACAAGCAAAAGATCTGCCGCTGCAAGAGGTGTTGGGAAGACGAAGCGTCTCACGTACCAGTCAGACCACACCGAGCCCCTCAGCCCGCGCCCCTCAAAGCAGCGCAGCCCACGCTGCCGAAAGCGGCAGCTGCCATTCTGGCCAGCTTCTGAGCCCCCAGGTGGGAAGGCCTGCCATTTCGCATCCCCCCCTCACCCCGCAGCCAAAGGGGGGAACGGCCCCTGTCCTCTCGGATGCTCCTGTGGGGTGAGGTTATTGGAGCCTGCCTTCTCCGCCTCACTGCGCCTCTCCTGGCCTTGCAATGCGTCTTTGAGTTCTTCCCAGCCATATTCAGTTCAAAGCTCAAGCCACACAGCTATTAATAGTCACTGTGCACCCAAGCGATGCTAAGGAAAGGTCCCATCAGTCAATGGGATTCTGCCTGAGATTACCCAAGAAGTCTTGCTTAATGCTTGCGACATTCCCTGGATGTTTCGATGGTTTCGCATTCTCCGCTGGGGCAAGGAAGCACGCTCCCAATGAGAAATCCAGAGCAGGACTGGATTTTTCCATCCTTTGCAACTCCAAGGATGTTTCATCTTGCTTTGAAATTTCACGTGAGGAAAAATACCATGGCAACTCTCGTTTCCTGTGGCGCAAACCTGCTTTGCAGCCAAAATCTTGCAGAGAGCCACTTGCTCCACCAAAAGACTTTTGATTATTGATATAATGCCAGGAGCGAAACGAGGTACCCTCCAGATCTTGGCTGGGGTCCAATGAAGGGAATTGTAAGCGGCACATTGGGAGGCATCAGACTGAGGCTACGAGCATTTTAAAAAATAATTGTCTTTCTCTGAGGTATTTGCAGCCCAAGACAGTCAGGAGCGACTCCAGTAATTCCAAAGCAACTGAGAAATAGCAACACCATACCAAAAACTGCAGCAGGAACAAGACGGAATATCTTTGTTCTGCAATGGTTTTATTTAAAGTAGGAAAACAGCACCCTTCTTCTATTTGGCATAATCCATTCATTACAGTGCATAAAACAGAATTAAACCCTCAGATCCTGGAAATGGTAATGATCGTCCAATCTGAAATCAAGAATGTTCCGCTAGCAGCTTCAGAGTGTTAAAGCCTGAAGGTCATTTGGGAAATTCGTTTGGGGCAATTTAGTCCTGCTAAATTTCCTGTTTCTTATCTCCCTCCCTGCAGAGGAAACATGTCGGATTCTTGCCTCTGCCTGAATGCCACACAAACCCTTCTCCTTCCCCAGAAGTTTGACGTTTCTCAGAAAATAGATCGGAACATCTGACTGGAGTTGGATCCAAAAATGCCCTTGGGCGCACCCCTTACGCCAACACATTTGCAAAGAAGAAAAATTGTGTTTGTGCTCCCTTACAGGGAAATCGGGATGATACAGAGAAGGCGGGTGTGACTAACGTGTGACGTGCACATTTGTGAAGGGTTTCATATTTTAAAAGAAGAAAGGGAGCCAAGCGTGAAGAGCAAGAGGAGAGAAACGGGGACTCTTTGCACGATGCTTGCAATTCAGTGTTGGCAACCAAGTGAGACCAAATGGAAAGATACGGGCGGCTTGCGTACACTCTTGTGCATGCAGCGGTGTGAGTGTTGTGTACCTGTCTGTGTGTGGCGCAGACGCTTGCTGGATGCAGCCCATCTGACAGCTCAGCCGTGCCTTGGATCCGACCCAGGGGGTGCCGACGGGGCATGGGCTCCCTGGTGTCATATGAAGGAGAGGTGCTTGTCTGCGGGAACCTGGTACTCGGCCTTGTGCTCTTCGAAGAGTTTGCTCAGTTCCTCCATGTACCGCTCGTGCAGGGCGTCCACCTCGTCTTGGCTGGGGTCGCGCTTCTGCTGGACCTTGATGGGCTTTCCAACTGGAGGTCGGGTTGGGCAGAGGGAAGGACGAAGCTTATTAAGACGTGAACTTGCACCGATTGGCCTTTTCAATGTGCTGGCCCACAGCTCCTGCTGTCCCCGGAGAGCATGGGGACCAGGGCTCTGGGCCAGCCCCTCACTCACGGCCCAGCCTACCCCACAGGGTTGTTGTTGTGAGGATAAGAGGAAGAGGAGGACGAGGAGAATGTCAGCTGCCTTGAGCTCATTGAAAGGAAAAGAGGCAGGGTGGATATAAAATTAGGAATGATGACAGTAACATCAAGCCAGGCCCTTGGTCAAGGCAGCTCCGAAGAGTCTTCCCAACCCGGTGCCTTCCAAAGCGTTTGGCCCACTCGGTTGCTTTCCAGCCCCTCTGGAAGGCACCAGGTTGGGGAAGGCTGGCCTACACTGCAGGGCTGGCACTAGGCGCCAAAGCATCTGGGGCGGAGGCATATTTGCATACGCTAATTTACGTGTGCTCTAAAATCTCCCTCTGTGTGTGTGTGTGTGAGCGAGAGCATGCATCATTCAAGGACCCTGAATCCAAAGGATACCCCTACATGTAAAAGGGACATTTGATTTCTGGAAAACCCCAGGAAGAAAGATCCAGGGCTCGGGGCAGCAGACGACGGGGAATCATAAGGGGGGCCGCTGGGCAGCTCAGCCGGGGGATCTGATGCAACCGGTCCTCCAGGCTCTGGTTTTGGCAAGTGCCCCTGGGCAGGGGGTATTGGCACAGATGGCCCCCAGAAATTCAGGGCTCCATGGGAAGATCTGGGGCTCCAGCCCCCAACTCCCCTCCGCCCCACTGTCCAGGGCCTCAGGGAGCAATCCTGGCCGGCTGCACCCAGAGCTGCCGGGATCAAGCCAGGAACGCCTGCATGCCGGCCAGGGCTTGGCCCCTGGGCTGGTGGGCTTTGCGGCCAGGAAGGGCCACATGGAGGTGGAGGGGAGTGCAGGAGCTCAGGAACCATCCCGTAATTTTCAATCGTGTCCTTGCAGGCCGGCAGTGATGCTTCCGCAACCCACCCTGAGTCCGTGAGCAACTCCGTGGCAGCTCCAAACCCACCAAGGAAGTTTGGAGAACCTGCCCCCAGAGTCCAGAGGGTTTTGGGGGTGGCATGCCGCTCTTTGCACTTCTCCTGGGGACCGGCACAACAGCAAACGGACACGCTCAGGCTTCCAGGTGCTTTGGACAACCAGCCCCCTTATCCTCAGCCAAAAGGACCGAGGGATATGGGGGCTTGGTGCCAAGTTGGGGAAGGCTCGCCTGGGCAATTTCCTCGACACCGGCATCAGAGGAGGACGCAACCAGCTGGGGACGGCCTCTCTCTCCTGCAAGCACCTGCGCCTTCCACCTCCGCAGCACACCTTTGTGCTAATTGTGTTTGTCAGGCAACCGCGGGCCAGCCTCGTTCCCAGCCTCCCTTGATCTATCCCGTTAAGTATCCTCTGCCACTGAGGCTGGTGAAAGGGGGTCAGACCATTGGGATGATCCAAACAAGCTGTAAAACAATTAGGGGTAATCCCTGCCTGTCACATCCCATCAGGGAACCTGGCCTTACCGTAGGAAACGGCTTCGTTAAATTAACCTGCTCGGAAGGAGTGGCTGTGGATGGGCTCCAGTTACAGCTTGCACAGGCACAGAAATGCTGCCCCTGGAGCTGGCAGAGAAAGCCCTGCTAGTAGTAATTGTCTTCCTGACATGGAAAAAGGAACGCTGATTGTTTGGGGAAAAAACACATAGCCCATCATCTTCCTTGATAGGGGCTGCCACTCCTAGCGACCATTTCCACCAGTTTCTCTGTATGCATTTCTTAGGTTTCTATCCTGTCTTTTTTCTTTTTAAAGGACTCAAGGGGGCTTACATTGCTCTCCTTTTCTCAGCCTTCTCCCCACAACAACCCTTTGAGGTAGTCAGGGCTGTTACCACAGCAGCCCTCTGCAACTTGATTCCCCTGGGACTACAATGGCCATGCTGTCTGGGGATGATGGGGGTGTAGCGGCAGCATTCCTGTTATGACATTTCTCCCAAGGGAGGGAGACCCAACGGAGGCCTCCAAAGTGGAGCCAATGGACGAGGGGAAAGAGCAAGACCTGTGCATGAAATGGGTGTTTGCAGGTGTCTGCACAACACGGGTGGGGCGGCGGGGGCCCCCCTGCAGTGGCCACTCAGGGCAAGCGACTCCTGCCCAGCCCTCGGGCCGGCCACGGGGATTTGTGGCCCTGCAGCCACAGGGCGTGCGTGAGCAGTGCCCCCCCGGTGGCAGGCCGCGGCAGCGTGGAAGCAGCACCCGGAAAACGCCGGTCGGGCACCCCTGGCCCTCGCTTCCGCCCTGCCCCGTTCTCTGCTGGCATTATGCACACCATCGATATTTCTGCGCCACCCAAGCGCAGGCGCTTCCTGGGCGGCTTGCAATAGTAGGTGAAACGCAATAAAGCTGCAAGATAAAACGCAACAGAGAAACGGAACATGCCGCTGCTGTGCAACCTGTCAAAGCCAACATTTAACCCACAAATAGCAAGATCTGTGATGCGCCCGGCCTAATTCCATCTCAAGTGAATTAAACGTGTGGCCACCAGATGTTGGAAATCCAGGAGGAGCCGGCTCACTCCCAGCTGCAGGGGCATGGCCTTCCCCATGGATTACGAGGGCCCCTGAGCAGGCCACCCTCTCTCCACCCGCCCCCCACATGGTCACCAGCTGCTCCTGTTCCTCATCTTCTTCCTCTCCACGGCTACCACCGGCTCGGTTGAGAGGCGGAGAGCCCGGGAGCATCCTCCTCAGCTTTAGCACTGCTTGGGCCAGAACTGGAGGCAGAAGCGGGAGCTGGGTACCAGGCCGCAGAGGCAAAGCCACTGCGCAAGCTTCTCGGTGGCGGCCTCGCTGGATGTCGGCCCCAGCAGCTACCCAGTAATCGATTTTATTGATTTATTTAAAGCGACAACAGTCTCGGGACAGCCTTACGATAAAAGGAGATTGAAATAAAGCATAGCAGCCAATACGCCCAATCAATAAAACCCACATTAAAATCTAATCCACCCTAAAATAGTGGGTGAATAAAAAGGTTTTAGCCTGGCGCTGCAAGGAATACAGAGTTGGCGCCAGGTGAACCTCACTGGGGAGCACATTGCAGAGTTGGGGTGCCACCGCAGAGAAGGCCCTTCTCCGGATAGCGACCCACCTAAGCTCCTTCCCGGAGGGCTCCCAAAGAAGGACCCCCAAAGCAGATCTTCAGGTGTGGGAAGGCACATTGGAAAGCAGACGCTCCTTCAGATCACCAGATCCTAAGCCATTCGGGGCTTTATGGGTCTTCACCAGTGCCGTGAATTGGGCTCGGACGTGTGCCCACCCTCGGTGCTGGCCCTGGACTTACCCACAGTGTAGATTGGCCGTCGGTACGGAAGCACCCCAAAGCTGTACTGGAAGACTCCTCGGGCGTGGAAGAGAGGCAGCGAGATGCCCATGACCTTCTGCAGGCGTTCCTGGGTCCACCTCAGCCAGGAGCCCTTGGGGTTTTCCACCTGGTCGAACAGCTCATTCTCTCCAAAGGAAAACACGGGGACCAGTGGAGCCCTGCAGGGGAGGAGGCGGCATCGTTAGAAACTCTGCAGCCGCTCCGAGCAAGGACAGATCTGGAGCTGCCCTGGGACCAGCCCTTGCTTCCCGGTTGCGGTTAGCCCCTTTCAGGGCCTGTCTCACTGTTGCCGCTTCTGCATTGGCCAGAGAGGGCACGGATTTGCCTAAAATGTATGCATGTTAATTTAAACATGCAAATTAGAAATAATTATTACACTTAATAATAAACATTCATTTTCACACAGAACATCCAACTTCTTGTTATCACGATTGCGTTGCATTTATATCCCACCTCTTTTCCTCTTGTGCATACCTCCCTTTCATCCCTGCAGCAACACCCCTGTGAGGTGGGCCAGGCCGAGAGGGAGCGACTGGCCAAAAGTCACCCACAGAGCCTGCGGGCCAAGTGGGGACTCGAACCAGGATCCCCCACGCCCCCAGTCGGCTGCACTTTAGTGCGGAAGAGGGGGGGGCTCGGTATTTGCACGCCGAGGCCTTCTCACAGGTGGCCCCAGCCTCAACTTACCCATGCTGGAGGGCCAGCCGAACGAACCCCTTCCGGTTCTGGAGCAGCAGCGTAAAAGCTCCAGGCCGGGCGTCCAGGGCTTCCTGTGCTCCCCCCACCGCGATGACGAGCACGTTTCCACCCCCCGGCTTCCTTAGAACGTAAGAGGCGGACTGCTTGTCAGAAGGGATTAAGCCTGGTTAAGAAACGGAGGCAACACGGGACAGCTTGAATTAGATGCAAGAAAAATAAGAACTAGAATCAACTTATTATTGTGCTTATTATTGATTTTATGCAATATAAATATAAATATTATTTATGTACTGATTCTTATCATAAGCCGTTTCTCCTACAAAGAGTCCAACACAGCCGTCTTCCTCCTCTCCATTTTATCCTCACAACAACCCTGTGAGGTAGGCTAGAACTGAAAGCCAAGCCCAGTGTCACCCCATGAGCCGGATGGCCAAGGGGGAACTGGAAGCAAACTCCTCGTCCGACACTCAAACCTCTGTGCATACAGTCTATTGCAGCCTTCCCAACCTGGCACCTTCCAGGTGTGCTTGGACTGCAATGCCCATCATTCCCAGACATCTGGCTGGCAATAATGGGAGTTGCAATCCACATATCTGGTGGCTGCACCAGGTTGGGGAAGGCCGGGATGTGGCCAGGTGCTTGCTCCCTTCTGTATTTTACGCCTTAACTCGCTGCATCAGCTCCGATTCATCTGGCTCCTGCCCTTCCTCACGAGGAGCAGCTAACAGGCCATACAAAGTCAATATGAGATGAGCACCGCTCAAGTTGCATCTCGAAAATTACAACTAAATCACAACGAATTTTGTGTACAAAATTACACAAAAAAGCACAGCAAAGCCATCACCACGCCAGGAAGGACTCAGAACACCTGCCCAGCGTTAGCACCACAAAATGCTTCTTGTGTCGGAAAGACTGCAATGTGGGGACAGCCGAATCGGTGCCACCACCAGGATGCGCCTCGTATGTGGAAGCGCCGCAAACCGCACTTGCGCAGGGCACCGCTTTCCTGGGGGGCCCCCTGCTGGAAGACCACCTGGCCTGCTGCAGATCCTCAGGACGTGGAGCCAGAGACACCCTAAAGCATTTGAACAAGGAAGGCATCTGTCCACTGGTCTTCTCCAAGCAGCCCTGTCCCAGGAGGTCTGGAGCATCCCTGCCCTTTCCTGAAGCCTTGGCAAGGAGAGTCCCCTGCTAAGCCCTCCTGGTTCCAGGCTTTTATTTTGCGGGTGGGGGGGGCTTTTCAAAAGGCCCCCTTCCCTCCCACCCCACTCCACCCCTCTCCTCCCGCTCCATCCATCCATCCTCCCTCCAGAGCCAGCCTTGCAGGACAGTCCCGTTCACGCCAATCTATTGTTATTTCTTGTATTTTAATTTTATGTTGTGAGCCGCCCCATTCGAGGCTTCAGCGAATGGGGTGGCATAGAAATGTTTTAATAAATAAATACATAAATAAATAAACCCTGCTTACCTCCGCTCATCAAGTAGTCCCGGAAGAAAGGCACCCTGAACCAGAGGTTCAGCATCATCATGTAAGGAGTCATCCCTGGAAAGAGCCTGGAAAATCCCGTCGCTTCCGTGCAGAAATTGACAAAAGCGCCCGCTACCAAGACCCCGTGGGGATGGAAGCCGAAGATGTAGTTCTTGGACGGGTCCAAGTCGGCCGTCTTCACCAGCTGCGAGACCAAAGTTAGTCAGGATTTGTGCGGGCTCCCGTGGCCAGGAAAATGGAGCCTGCTGGGGCAGACCTTTTGGAAGGAACGCTGGAGAAATCCTTATCCATGTCTTTATCCTTCCTGCTGAATTCCATTTACTGTATATACCAGTGTATAAGATGACCCTTGAAAGCGGAAATACTGAAGCAAAACTTGGGGGTCGTCTTGTGTGTCCAACATAGGACAAACGCCAGAAAAACAGCCTCAAATATTGACCTCGTCCTATACACGGCTTGCGTATCCACCAATATATACGGTATATACTGCCCAAAAGCCAAAAAGCTCTCACGACGAACAACATTTTAAAAACACAACCCTCCCTCTGCTACAGATACAATAAAAACAGCATAGAATCCAATACGAGATGTTTAAAAAACCAGAATTTCAAAACCATTGGAGGAGTTAAACACATGCAGTGCAGAAACTAGACCACTGCAGACATAAAGTCCCCAAAAGTAATTAAATCCATTTAATGGCTCAGCACAGAGTAGTTGGAACCTGGGCAGGAAAGGCTAGGGGGTTCAGGGAAACAGATGGGTGTTGCTGTCCCAAGCAGTGCAGGCCTATACGGGTTGAAAGCAGCCCTTTGAACTGGGCGTATCTACATGCAGGGCTGATTCGCACAATCCCTGGGGTTACCAGAAGCTCGCCTTTTCTGTGAGTACTCTTGGTTGTGGGAACGCTCCGCTACCTCCCTAAGCGTATGATAGCATGTTAAGCCGGAGTCTCATGGATGGGATTGGAGCAATCCATTTCTTTGCTCGCTCCAGAGATCTTTGAATGCTATTTGTTTATTTCATTTCTGTACCGCCGCACAGACAAAGCTATCTGGGCACTTTACACAGTTATAAAAACATAGGATAAAAATGCGATAAACTATCATAAAATCAGAAAAATATTGAGAAGTGAAGGCAGCTAGAGCAGGTAATAAAAATAGAAAATAACAAGGAATATCATCAGCGACAACAAAGAGCGACTCTGAGAAAGACGAGGTGTTTCCCCCTCAGTCGCATTCACTGTGCAAGGCCGTGGCTGACAGGAAAGAAAAATCATAATTTTTCACTGCCTGCCTGAGCACGCACATTCAGCTCCTAAAACCATGTCTCATTATGATTCCCCCTTGTTATTCCACTTGGGCCTGATTTTCTCCTCGGACTATGGAAAAACTGCACAACCTCAATGCGACAAAGAAGCGCCTCAAATAGGGAGCGATTTTGCATATCTTGGCTCAATTATCCGTTCACACGGATCCCGCGGCCAAGAAATTCGAAGATGACTGAGACCTGAAAGGAGCGAGAAGAGACCCTCAAGTGGAAGGAGCGCCAATCAGCAGTGCTTCGTACGGCAACATTTTGTTGCAGGTCTCAGTGGTCCTCCTTGCAGCTGTGTCCAAATAGCACTCCGACCCCACAGCTGTCCAGAAGGTTCCTCCTGCCACTCCGGGGCAAGGCATTGGCCTGGGGCGAGGCAGCTTAATAGCCAAGGCCATTCCTCCACGGTTCTCGCCTTCACTGCTGCCGATTCCCACCCCTTGCCCAAGAGAGGGAGCAGGAAGAAGCAGTCACAGGGCATCACTGCCTGTCTCTCGCCACCTAGATGGGCAAGGAGCGGCTGCAGGCTCCAGTTGGTGGTGGCCCCTCCCTGGGACGGGGGCCACAGCATCTGCCTGGGGGTTCCGACCCCTGGCACCAGCCCTGGCTGGCAACAGAGGCCAGCACCCCGGGGGGCTTGGGTGCCCTTTCCAAGGTCATGAAGCATGTGGGTGCAACAAGAACGGTCCGGTGAGCTCCTGCAAGAGAGGAGAGGACGAGGCAAAAGACGCCACGGCCTCCTGGCAGACGCAGCAGCTCGGTCTCGGCTCTCCTGTTGGCGCTGCTCTAAAAGCTCCTCCAGCCCTGGGGGATTTTCCGTGTGCTCAGGACACTGTTGACTGTTCCCATGGACCTGCTGAGGCTCCCGCTGCTAATGAAGACAAGAGGAGAACACGCCGTCCCCTTTCGCTGCCTCGCTACACAGGCGGCCGTCAGTCCGAGTGCAGAGGCACGTTCGTGTTCGGGGACACGACCGCAGGGTTTTCCACGAGGCTCCGTGGGCTGCCTGGCTCTGCGTCCTGGTTCGCTTTGAAAGATGCTCAGCTTTCTCAAGCAGTTTCAGCCCTGGCGGTTACATCTGGTTTGTTTGTTTAGTCGCAAAGTCGTGCCCGACCCATTGCGACCCCATGGAAAACATTCCTCCAGGCCCTCCTGTCCTCCACCATCCCCGGAGTCCACCCAAGCTCACACCAGCTGCTTCAGTGACTCCATCCAGCCACCTCATCCTCTGCCTTCCTCTTCTTCTTTCGCCATCTATTCTTCCCAGCATCAGGCTCTTCTCCAGGGAGTCCTTCCTTCTCATCGGGTGGCCAAAGTGTGTGAGCTTCATCTTCAGCATCTGGCCTTCTAAAGAGCAGTCGGGGTTGATCTCCTCTGGGACTGACCGGTTTGATCACCTTGCGGTCCAAGGGACTCGCAGGAGTCTCCTCCAGCACCACAATCCAAAGGCCTCAATCCTTTGGCACTCAGCCTTCCTTATGGTCCAGCTTTCACAGACATACATTGCAACTGGGAAAACCAGCGCCTTGACTATCCGCACTTTTGTTGGCAGGGTGATGTCTCTGCTTTTTAGTATGCTGTCTAGATTTGCCATAGCTTTCCTCCCCAGGAGCAAGCGTCTTTTAATTTCTTGGCTGCAGTTCCCATCTGTGGTGATCTTGGAGCCCAGGAAAATCAAATCTGTCACTACCTCCATTTCTTCTCCATCTATTTGCCAGGAAGTGAGAGGACCGGATGCCATGATCTTAATTTTCTTAATGTTGAATTTCAAGCCAACTTTTGCGCTCTCCTCCTTCACCCACATCAAGAGGCTATTTAGTTCCTCTTCACTTTCTGCCATTAGAGCAGTTTTGACTGCATATCTGAGGTTGTTGATATTTCTTCCAGCAGTCTTAATTCCTACTTGTGATTCATCTAGTCCAGCCTTTCACATGATGCACTCGGCATATAAGTTAAATAGGCAGGGTGACAATATACAGTGATTGCCGTACTCTTTTCCCAATTTTGAACCAGTCAGTAGTTCCATGTCCAGTTCCCGCTGTTGCTTCTTGACCCACATCTGATACCTGCAGCCAGCAGAGGCAGGCAAGAGGAAACCTACGAGGGGCATCCTTGCAGGTTCAAGGAGGTTTTCATCGGCCCTGTTGGCCAGCAATCCCCAGCAAGACGGCTGGCCTGGCCCTGCTAACGGAACTGCTTTTTCCTCCACAATCCAGCTGAGAAAAGCGGGTGGAGATGCTGCCAGCCTTGCAAGCCACTGGCAACCTGGGAGCCACGGGCTGTGCATTCTCCCCAACGTTTTGCACCCAGAGTCAGTGCGCGAGACCAGGAGACCTCGGTTCTGCTCCCCACATGGGGCATGACGCCCACTGGGTGACTTCGGGCCAGTCACTGACACGCAGCCTAACCTACCTCACAGGGTTGTTGTTGTGAGGATGAAATGGAATGGAGACGTACTGCATAAGTCAGCTTGGGTTCCTTGGAGGAAAGAAAGGAGGGCATAAAGGTAACGATAAATAAATATAAATATACCTGCACCATTGATGCAAAAGACGGAGAACAGTTCACTCTGCTTCAGTGAACTTTGCGCTGATGGGACCCCCACAGTTCCCCCGTAAGCTGAGAAAGCATGGGGGAGTTTTGTCATCGAGATTGGGAAGTGCCTTCTCATGATGCATCCAAAGTGCAACAGCCTCAGTGTTACGCTTTTGCTTTTAGGGGAAGTTCCAGCTTGGTTTGCTCATTTTTCTCTTGGTCCAGGGAATTCTCAGGAGTCTCTTCCAGCACCACGTTTCGAACAAATCCATTTTCTTCCCGTCTGCTTTCGGCATGGCCCAGCTTTCATATCCATGCGTAGCAATCAGGAATATAATTGTGCGGATGATCATGGCCTTCCTGTGCAATAGAATCTCTTTACATGGGACAATCTTTTCTCGTTCCTTTGTCGTCGCCCTTCCGAGTCTCAGTCTTCTTCGAATTTCTCAGCTGCCGTCTTCCTTCAACTTGATGGTTGTACCAAGGTATATAAAATCTTTCACAATTCCACTTTCTTCACTGTTGACAGTAAAGTTGCATAATTCTTCTTCAGTCAAGATTGTTGTTGTCTTAATCTTCAGCTGCAGTCCCGCTTCCGCACGTTCTCCTGTTGCTTTCGTCAGGAACTGGAAATCCTGGGTTTGAACCTGGGACCTTCTGCGTGCAAACTGCAGCGCTGCTTGTCTGACGTCACGTGTGGCGGGTGGCGTTCAGGTACCAGCTGTTGTTTCTCTCAGATGGAAGGACTGGGTTCATTCCTTCTGCAAAAGAGCCTTTGAGGAATATGGGGCCAATTTCTGACCCAGATGAAGAGGGAGGGGTTGCCCTCTGCAGCAAAGGAGCCTGGGCCAGTGGCCCAGGCCAGGCAGCAGCCAAGACTGACTGAGCTGCAGACACTGTGGAAGATAAAGTGGGCCTGTTGAGGAGGAGGAAGGTGGATCAGCCTTCACTCACCCCAGGGTAGGGCATCAGCGAATGAGGGCAGGCCAGCTGAGAAGTGTCGGGCCTACCTGAAGGAGCGTCTCCGTCCATACATGCCTGCCCTCCCCTTAAGATCTGGGGCAGAGGCCCTTCTCTGGGAGCCCTCCCTGAAGGAGATTGGGAGGGTGACTACCCAGAGCAGGGCCTTCTCTGTGGTGGCGCCCCGATTCTGGAATACGCTCCCCAGAGAGGTTCGCCTGGCGCCATCACTTTATTCTTTTCGGTGCCAGGCCAAAACCTTTTTATTTTCCCCATGTTTTAAGACCTGGATGTTTTAACTGGGGTTTTATTATTAGCTTTCAAGCCCGTCGAATTCTCTTGCAGTAGCTTAATAAGACTTTGATTTTGTGAACC